ATAACGTATGCTGGACATACAAACAAGCGATAATAGGTATTGACAGTCCGTTTACGAACCGTTTGAGTTGTGCACGGATTTGCAAACGTTGCGACAACATCATTGGAGTTTTCAGCGTTTCACCTATTGATCAGATCGGTTCACTTCAGTTAGACTAGTTTACGAGGCAACTGTAAACTAATCTAATCGTTTATTCTACATACACCGCTTATCAAAATGAATTAAAACTGGGAAGCAGAGAAATAGAGAAGAGTATAATCTTATCTTATTAATATATATATATATATATATATATATATATATATACATATACTAAAATTGTAATTAGACGATATCTGTGTAAGAGAGATATTTAAGAAAAATTAATATGAGAGGTATTAATAATATCAATAGATGCTAAAACAATAATTTTTTAGAAAATATGTCTGTTTTTCTATTTCTTTTTTTATTGACGGTATCACATAAAAGATGCTTTACAAAATAAGATATGGTTTTAATTGATTTTGAAGGTTAAATTTGAAATCTAGTGTATATTTCATCTTAATATATATCATCTTAATATATATCTAGAAGTGGTCTATTTTATGATTCTATTCTTCTATTCTTTCTTCTATTTTATTGTCCTAGTTTTGTATCCTCTAAACCACTTTTACGAAGTAACGGGCAAAAAGCTAGTTTTAAATATAAGCATCTATATTACACTTAATTACTTATATTAGGTTTTATTACGTATTGAATTCAGGATTTGGACTAGTTTCAGACTCGACAGTAGTGCCTATTCGTGAGCACGGTTCAAGCCGGTCTCGTAAGTAGCACTGTGCGCCCCGTGCTGTGCGCTGTTGCGGCGCGCGTGCGGCCGTTGGCGAAACTAAATAGATAACTTCGATGGTAACGCCAATGTTAATAATTATTATACAGAATTATTCAATAAAATTATCCTTATTGTAATTATTTATGTTGGCTTTATTTACGTTTTAAATTTCCGAGTAATATAATGTAAATTGGACTCTTATTTCCGCACTAAGCCTCTTTAAATTTCTAAGTGAAGGCGACATAAATAATTAGAATACGGTATGACTCATGATAGTTATTATCCAACAAAATTATCTTTATTCATAGACAGAAATCATAATCATTATCAACTATTTAGGGCTGCGGTCTACAACGAATGTTAAACATAATACCCAAAGAAATACAAATCTCAAAATGACTTGACAACTGAACGTGCTACGATAGCATGTTAGAGTCACAATGTTTTAGTAACATAAATGACAAGTCTACTAAAATATCACACCGTATCAATATCATAACTAAAAAATGCTATACATACATAGAAATGTATTTATAGTATATATTGATACAACACAATATTATTAATATTCTACGCACATTATTCGCACTGTAATATCTTTGTAAAATAATTTCAAGTCGATATATTTTTTTTTTATTTAAATGTCTGACCCATTTATAATACTCAGTAGAAACCACTAAAGCTAATTAAGAATTTTCAGAAATTTTAATTTTAGACATAGACCTAAATAATTAGGTAATGAAACTTTATAGTAGATCTGACAAATGAAGATATTTGAATGTGCTTTTTATATAAATTTTATAGTAAGTGAAATTGAAAGTATTAGCTTTCTTTAATGAAAGTTTTCTGGTATGGTTGTAATATAGTAGAAATTGAATATTATTACTAAAGAATGGTCGAGAAATGACAAAAAACTTTAGTACTTTTCATAGAAGCTTAATAGTTGAATGTAACATGACCGTATTGAAGACCCATAATTTTTTGTCGTTTTGAATCCATTGACCTTTTCATTCTTTGGAAAGGATATTTAGTAATACTGGTAAAATGAGGTATTTTGTAATAGACTTAGTAACACTCAGTGGGTTTGCTCATGTGTATCATGAAAAAAGTATCCTATTAGATAATAATTGTCGTAGAAAATTATTGTTTAAGTAATAAATATTTAAATATCTTTACGAACTTCCACATTAAAATATTAGTAGAATCACCGTCCAGACAAAGTGGGTCGTTTATTAGTATTACCAAAAATATATAATACCATATTTAGGCATCTATTATTTTAAATGTAAAACCCACACAAAGTAATTCTTGAAATTTAATCTGGCACAATTTTAGATTATTACTTTAAATTTTGTAATTATCATTATATATAGTGTAGCTAGGTATTAACTAAAAAAATATCCTAATATAACACACACCATTAATTGTATCTAAATGTAATACAAAGTTGATATATTCCGAAATATTGTACGGGAATATGTTGAATATTGATGAATTTACAATTGATATTTTATTTAATTGACATAAACACGTATGCATCATCTAATTAAGCACTTCTTTTTATAACGTCTATTAAGACAGTGTTTCCCGATGTTCACATAGTAATAGGAAATAACGCAACTGTTATAATCGAACTATTGATCTTCATTATCATATCAGCCTTTAACTGGCCACTACTGAACTTAAACATAGGTTTTGCCAGTAGTTGCCACGCTTGGCAGGCGGATTGGCAAGCGCAGTTAGGGACGCTGCTGGCCATCTCTCGCCATCCCTTAGTCGCCCCCTCACGACACCCACGGAAAAAGGAGTGGCCTATTCTGGAACCACACGGCACTGTATGTGTCGATATTATTCAATATAAATTAATTAAAAAAAACCTATGAACCAATTTACAATATTTTATTAATGATGTGGTCAATTCTAATTAATAAATAATAGATCACTGACGAAGTTTAATCATCCGAAATATGACATATTGGTAAATTAATTAATCAAATGGTAATCTAGGTGGATAGTTGGATACATTAATAATATATTTACGGGCATGTACCTAACATAAGATCGTGTTGCATATTTAAAGCCTATCATATCTCATTGGTAAGACATTACGGTATATTGTACAAAGCAAATCCCAGATTTGAATGTATAATGTATTATGACTTTGATAAATATGTAAAGTTATAGTCCCAGATTTTTTATTCTTTAGCTTCTCGTAGGATATTTCACTGCATTTGATTTTATTACATAAATGTTAATACGTTTTTACTATTTAATGTTAATATATTTTAATATTACGTACTTACTTTACCTGATACAAAGTTACAATCATATTTATCCTATTTTCTAACTTTGCAGTTCTCACTGAAATTTTTATGGCTTTAGAGAAAAATGTAAAATATTTGATAATAAATTATTTAAATTATATGAATATTTACATAGCGATCACTGTTGTTATTTTTATCTACAATAAATAAATTAACTAAAACTAATTTTTACTTTTATCAATATTTAAGACTACTTTTTTAGTACCAGTAGTTTCTACTCTGTTATTTACTAGAAATTTCAGAATGGTAACAATACATTTAAAAGGATAATAGGACGGATAATTTTTCCAAATATGACCCTATATGTATTCAGTACGGGACGGGTCGCTTTTAAAAAGATCTCTCTTTACACGTCTTCCCCAGAAAAGTTTGACGAAGACATTTTAGTCAATTGATTTTCTTCCAATTCCTTGTTTCCATTTCGGACGGACACCGTTAAATTATGTCATATAAACAAATTAGAAGTTATAGAATATTTACAGCGACTGTCTAGGGAAAATCAATAGAATGCCAGGAGGATCCCTGTTTGCATCTGAATAAATGAAAACTCTTTGTTCTTTTGTTTTTAGCCCCGAAGGTGTACAAAAACCGTTCAGAACATTGCACGCAGCGAAAATTTTGTCGTTATTTTTTTTCAATATTATCTATAAATGGTATTCGAATTTATTGCACATAAATTAGATAAATTTTAACGTACGTGTAAAAGTTTAGAACACACACAACATACGAACACCACACAAGATGCTTAGAAATTGATCGAACGGACCTAACTTTGGTTCAATTCACATTACCCTAATCAGATTATGGCACAACTTTTAGGATCTAGGAAACCATCTCCCAAATATCTTAATTAAGAGAGGATGTTTCATCGAACGGTATCGTTTAAGTGGAACCACAAGGAATGCCTAGTCCCGCCCACCCGCGTCACTGTGGCGAAACTTGTAACAGCATCTAACTTAAACATAAGTTTTTTGATAAGTCAGTGTTTAAACGATAGGGTGGCGGGAGTATTACAGGTTGCTCGGGTGTGAGGGGAGGTCGCGTAGTGATGTGCCCGTACACACAATATCGATTATCGTCGCTCTAAAAATATACTGGAATTACTACATTCGTTTAATAAGTTCTTCTATAAGATTCTTGAATTTATATTATTTCAGTAGTTTTCTAATATCTTTTTGTGTCGATGCACTGCTTTCTTTTCTTGGTGGTTATCTGAAAATATTTTCTTGTGGTATCTTATCAAATATATGTCAATAAGTTACTGTTATAAAATACAATGTTAACTGATTTAGTAAATATATAATAAACACTTAGTAATAGTATTATAACTAGTATATAATAATGTCAGTATTAAAAAAAGAACGAACAACTACCGAAAGTCTTTATTCTTCCTTATCGCTTTATTACGTATGTATTTTGTTTCATTATTACCTCTACTTTGAGATAATGTTTTTAAGTTTTGACTGATTCTCCAGTAATAATAAAAAAATAATTAATCAATCAAAGACACATTAGAAAGATTGCTTCTGCGTAATTTAATTTCGATACGTTATTTTCAATATTTTCGAGTCGAGTTTCTGCATATTATAATGGAAATATTTCATAAATATCTCAAATTATCCAATTAGGATTCTCAGTTGTAAGCATATTTATAACTGAAAATCAATCAATATTTAGAATTTTTTTTTTCGCTCTTATATATACTGATAGTCCCTTATAGAATTTTTAATTTAATTTCTCTCGATATAGGTATGCCGAAAATAGCACACCACTATGAAGCAACAGGGTGCTGGACGCCTGCGCGTTTCCACCCCAACTCCAATAAATGGACCGTCGGCTCTGTTTGGGCCTCAGATCCACGCCAGGAGTCCGTGCTGAAGGCTGGCCCCAAATCTACCGCCCGCCCTCGGTACATAGCGACGTAGCAATGTGTGTTACACCTGTTTAATTTCAACAACTCGTTTAGACTTCAAGTGTTGTGACTGTTATATGATGATGATGACTTTACGTGACAATGACTAGTTTGTGCCGTGATTGTGTCCAGTGCCGAATTTGAAAGGTAAGTTTTTATCGCGCTTTTATGACATTTGTGCGGGCGCGCACTAAACTGATGGGGTTTGCGAAATTCACGGCCTGCAAATTTGATGCAAGTTTTATCGAACATTATATGATTATGATGGTATAATATATAGAAGAAAAAATATAATTGTGTAAACTTTAAGGTTCTTAAATGCCTTTATTATTTATTTTTTCTTTTTTTTATATTTGGAATAATATTTCTATTTTTTAATATTTAATAATAAAATCTGTTGGCAATTAAAATAGCTTAGAAGATTTTATTACCAGTATAATAATTAAAATTCTAATGTTCGCGTTCGTGCAGGGTCACTAACCCCTTTTAACGACCGAGCAGCTTTACCTTTTAACCTCGTACAGAAGATAATATGGATAATTTGGTTAGTGTTCATATTCAGTAAAGTAACCAACACAATTATGAATTTTATTAATAATTAGAGTATGCCTACATTCATTAATTTTTGGTAAAGCAGATATTGTTCGGGATTTAATTTGGGGATTAAAACAATATGAAATATATTACGTTAGAACATTATTTAGGACAAAACAAATTAAAATATTAAAATTATTGAACATTAATTGTTCAATAATTAAATAATTAAAATTAATTTTTTGATGTAAATTCAATATGTTAATTAAAAAAAATATTATTATTATAAATTAAAAAAATGCCCTTGTTCCAGAGTATTCATTAAAGAAATTTATGATTTAATTTATTTCTTTAAGTAATTTCGGTGGAACGATATATCCATATAATAAAACATATAAGAACATATAATAAAACATAGAAGAAACATATAATAATAAATTCCGTGCAGCTAATTGCAACAAGGCATGTGTAACAAATACCAAATCAAAATAATTACTATTATTTGCTTTAAATTATCTTAGTACACATTTTTTCGCGCACAACTTATTAGATACGTTTTATATGTAGCCTGTATGTTTTAATACAATTTTATTTCTATATTTCCCTTAATAAATGGCGTATCAAAATTCAATTACAGCAGTCTCAAACTTCCAAATCAGCAATGCAAATTAGGAAAACGAGATATTGATATAATTTTAATGGATCTATTTATAATCACTAGAGCACGATATGGACGAAATTAAAATTCATTAAAGACCCCACCCTCTAAGGACTATAATGAATACAATTAAGTAAGTCATATTTCATATTGACTGTAGATATAAGTAAATTACGTTTTTCTTTCTATTATGAACATGAATTATAAATTATAAAAATATTTTTCACTATTAACCGCAATTTGGAAGTCAATTATTACGTACTACTTAATAAATTGTAGCAGGTGGTTCAGGACCGTTCCTTATGGCAGTCTATGCGGGAAGCCTATGTCCAGCAGTGGACGGATAATGGCTGAAATGATGATAATGATGACTTAATAAGTACAGGATTTGATTGTGACTTGTGATTAAGCAACTTAATATTTTTCAGTCTAATCTAAAATACCATTATTTACAATTATCTCTAAAATTGACAAACTCTAGGAAAAAATATCCTTTATAAAAAAAGGAATTGCAGTATAATTAAAGGAATTATATTTTAGAACATGGAGAAATAAATAAAAATCTCTTTAATTTTACCCTCAATTTAAAATACGTCTTTAAAATTTTACAGATAAATAGAATGACACTTCCTTATCGACCCTCAGTAGTACCGTCGCTTTTCTCGATTTGTTAACACCATACTGTTTGTAAATAAAGCTGGGGACTGGTTTGTATAACATAAACTTGTAATTTGATTGAACAATTTCGAATTACGACGCGCTTCGAATCCTTATTTGCGTGATAAGTCAAGCAAGGTTGATCATTAAAAATTGTGACGGTTCGCCTATAGAACAATAGGTTTAATACCATAAGTACATAAAAGAAACAGGGGTTCCTATGGGTGACCGCTGCGAAAGCTGAGCTATTTAATATAAACAAACTTTAAAGTCAAGGTTCACAATAGTATACAGAGAAAACGTTACCATATATGAAATATTGACACAGAAGGGAAACTCCTTTGATGTGTTTCCAAAGTGTAGTGGACGTCACAAGAAAATTAAATAAATTAGACAAAAATATATTATATTTTATATTAACCAAATTATAGTTTACCTTTTTATCATCAGGTGTAAAAAAGATACATACAACACAGTTTAATAAGGTTTATGAGAGCCTTTAAAGTTTTATAAATTCAATAATCAATTTAATATAAAATACCAAAATACGTTAACATATAATTAAATTGAATTTAAAGAAAAGTTCAGTTCGAATAATAGGCTAAATCTGATTATTGAAATATCTACCCTTCGGTGACATAATCTATGACGTTATTAGAGAAAGAATAGAAAAAAAAAAAGAAAGGAGAGCCGGCAGATCGGCGGGCGCGCGGGGGTCGCTTTTTAGGAATTGCGCAGGAAAGAAAGAAAAGAAAAAAAAAATGGCGCGGGAGTCGTGTTTTAAGGAACTGCGCAATAAAATAAAAAAATAACTAGGATATAGATCTAGGAGGGACTGGTTCGATGAAGGGGTTTGAGATCTTAGTGTATCACTATGGATTAAGTGTGTGAAATTAATCAATAGAAGACTGGAGAATCCGGTGAGCTTGTTCCATTTATTACTACGTAGTTAGATTTTTGACTGTGATCGCAGGCAAAGTCTATACTTAATATTTTTCCCAACAACTATTAAGATACGTATTTAGTCGAGTCCATATACCTTTAGGTAATGCGTATATCGTTAAATGCAATCACATTTGAACAAAGTTTACATCAATATAATTTACGTACTTACGTTATTCTACTCATATACAAAATCCAATTATATGGTCGTTTGATAGAACTTCATCAATTTGATTCAATGTTCTAATTGTTCAGTTTTGGAAAATACTTATTAAATCAGCTATTAAACTATTATAATACTAACTAGTATCTAATTCATATCTAGTTACTATAAATTATTTATTTATTGAGGATAAATAGACTAAGGTGGCTGTGGTCTGGTCTCATTGCTGGGGAAGCAACCATTGATGAGAGAGAGGGGTTATTGAGTGGCGACCCTGTGAATGCAAGTGTGGCGTGGGCTACCTCCATTGTTTGGAGTGACTGTTTTATGTGTATTGTGGGGCCGTTCCTTGTGTCAGTCGGTGGAAATTGCCTGTGTTCAGTCGTGGGTTGGTGATGGTTGAGACGATGATGATGATGAAATATTTATATTTATTACACTACTACAGTGTTGGTTTAGAATATCTATTCATACTTAACGCTTCATGGTGAAGTGTTTTCATACCATTACTCGGTTGACAAGACTAATGATTCTTAGTCTATATTTGATTATCCATGACTACATGTGGGGATTTGTTTTACACCAGATGTACAAAGAGACAGCTTAACTGTTGTAAGTGATTTTATGTGGATGTAATACTTTTAATACATTATTGTGTTAGTAGATAAATTCATGTGATTGTGGGGTGTTTATGGTAAACAAGCCTATATTGTTTAAATAGATATTTTGTCTTGATTTATTATAAACTTTAATATTGATTTTATTGTAGTGAGCAAGCTGACAATAACAACTCTTTGTATATTACTGCTTTTAATAATATTTAATTATATTGATATTATAGGTGTGGATTTATTTCCTAATGGTAATAAATGTACTAAAGGATTCTCTGACTATAGTTACTCTTAACTAGGTATGAGGTACAGTATAAAATTAGTACTAAATGACAAGTGTGAGTTATTTATTATTTATTATATTATTTTACTCATATTTAGGAAGAAAGTTGTCATGGCGATAAGGTTTGTATGTGTGTTGTTTGTTCATGCTATATTGACTAGACAAGTTCAGACAGGGTTAAAATTAGTGAATCTTTATTGGATTTATATTTAATATACATATTTCGAATATTTATGGGAATAGAATGGAGATATACAAGTAGTAAAATATAATATTAGTATTTTATAAATTTCATTATCGAGTTAGTTGTATATGTTGGGCTGTATCCAAGGAGATATTATCCTATTAATATCAAGTTAGGACAATTAATTTAGATATTAATAAAGCAAACATTAACACTGATTATTCACTTCTTTAATAAATTTACATTAGTGGTTAGAAATCAAATAGATAGCATATTGGGAAAATCTTCACCACACATGTATTTGAGGAATGTTCTTGATAATTAGTACTGTATGTATGTATTATTGCAGGTACAATTGCAATAAGAATGTTAAACTTCTAATCTTCTGTTCATTCTTGAATGTGAGAGTAAGCTTGGCTACTGATATCAATATAAAACTGCAGCATTACTGGATACTATTAATTATTTCTGGTGTAAACCATGATTATTTATATCACTGATAATTTAGTTATATATTACGGTTGATATATGATGATTTTATATTTAATTATATTAAACAAATACAAATAAACAAACTTGCTAGTATTTGTTACGTTGACAGTTGTGATAGATAATCAAAATTCAATTCAATACATCAATACGTCATTCAATACGTCATTAATGTGACAGATGTCAAACAAAAGGAGATTATACACGTTATGATTCTATATCTAGGTCTATAGAAAATTTATATAATTTTCAGTTATTTTATAATAACTGTAGGGGAAATATTGGAATTATTTATATGAGAAATTTCACTTAAATGATATGATAATTATTTAAAGACCTAATTTCTTAGGGATTTAATCATGATGATTTAAACATTAAAACACTTGTTTATCTGAGAAATCCTCTTAGTAAATAGGTTTACTAAGACACTAAAAGGGAGTAGATATAGTATAACTATAGTACAGCTACAATAATTGTATGGGACTTACTGTCCTTTCTATACAAATATATATTTAATCTATATCTTTCACATTATAATTATGCAATATATTGCCTCTACTACTACAACATACACAAATAGGACTTATTGTCCTTCCTATATACCTATATATAATAATTGACCTGGC